ATTTTTTCAGATCCTCAGATAGTTCATTACCATGAGGTGCCATGTGGAACTTCCAGTGACCAGTCTGAGAGAGTGAGAGCGATAAAATCTGTTCCCCCTTCACACCTGAGACTTGTGACACTCTCATGACACCAGGGAAGGAAAACAGATACTTGGGCCCAATTTGGATGTTGTCACTTAGGGGTTTACTCACTTTTGTTGCCAGAAGTTTAGACATTAATGGCTGTGTGTTGCGTTATTTTGAGGGGTCAGCACATTTACACTGTTATACAAGCTGTATACTCACTGCTTTACATTGTAGCCAAGTGTCATTTCTTCAGTGTCATCACCTGAAAGGATATACTGAAATATTTAGTACTAAGTACTGTCATAGTACTAAGAATCCAGTGAAAGCAGTAATGCACAACAGTCTATCTAAACATCACACACAGGTAGCTGGTTACTGAAGCAAGGTTTGCCTGAAGAGAAAGGTCTTTGGCTGCTTGTGGAAGGATAGCAAATATGGGTCCAGTCTGGCCTCCTGTGGGAATGAGCTCCAAAATCTGGGTACAGCAACAGAGAAGGCTCTCTCCTGTGTCCCAATCAGATGCACCTGTGAAGATGGCAGGATCAAGAGAAATCCCTCTCCTGATGATCTGAACACCTGAGCTGGCTCATGATGGGAGATACGGTCTTTGAGATAGCTTTGATCCAGGCTATTTAGGGCTTTATAAGTTAAAACCAGCACCTTAAATTGTGCCTGGTAACTGATCAGCAGCCAGTGGAGCTGCTGTAACTGGGGGATTATGTGATTCCTGGCCCCAGTCAGCAATCTGACTCTTGCATTTTGGACCCAATGAAGTTTCCTGACACTTTCCAAAGGCAGCCCCTCATAGAGCACATTACAGTAATCCAGCCAGGAAGTAACCAAGGGCATTAATCACAGTGGCCAGATCAGATCTCTCAGGGAATGGATGTAGCTGGTGTACTAACTTTAATTGTGCAAATGTACATCTGGCACCACCCAGCTTGAGCATTCGGATTCAGGGATGAATCCAGGAGCACCCCTGAGCTGTGCACCTGTTTTTTTTTAATGGGAGTGTAATCCCTTTCAGTAGAGCCTGCATCTCTATTCCTTGATCTGCCTTTCGACTAACCAGGAGCACCTTTGTCATATACCACCCAGAACTGCTTTCTCTTCTTCACTAGTGAAGCACTGATGAAGCATCTGTTTCTTCAGAAAATGCCATTCCATGAGCTCTAGGTGCTTTGAAGGAGTGGTTTAGCAGCTGAGATGGCTTTACAGTCTCCTCCACTTTCCTGTTGGAAAAGGTGGGATGAACGCATTGAGAGAGCATGGTATTAGAGCCTGCAAAGGTACTCTACATGCAGCAAATTGAGCTGGCTACCATAAGGCTAAGGTAGGTCAATAAGTCATGGCTGAAGAAGAGCGTGAGTGGTTAGTTTATCTGTAGATCCATGTAATGACAGAATGCTTTTTAAGAATAAAAAGCCTAAAAAACTAAAATTTAAGAACATATATATATATATATTTCATATTTAAATGAAACCAGATAATGAAAGCCATTCATTGCCTTCATTTCCACAGAGTTTGCTATTTAAGAGTTGGAGTCATTAATGAAAGTATTAATTTTAATTAATGAAAGCATTAATATTTAAATATGTCATTTTCTACTGTCCTTTTCTCTTATTCCCCTCTGAAAAAAAAAGTAATGATGTGTTACATATATATCATCAGCCATATTCTGGCATTCTATTTCTGAGTAGGATCTAAAGGTGAAAGGTAAAAGCAAATATGCTATCTCTGTGTTGTCCATCCATCTCTGTCCACAGTGCCTAGCCCATGTGAATGGACAACCTTTGCAGCTGAGAGTCTTTTGCATCCGTGTAGGTTTTCTTGTGATAAAGAACTCTGATTCTCAAGAAATGCAGTCCCATTTGTAGAGCTACCATATGATAATTTTTCTAAGGTTTATCAGGACTTTAATGTATGACACCTGGGATGTGATTTCCATGTGTCTTTATTAATTTTCTTAAATAATGTGTCCAAATAGTATTGGTGTCTGCATAGGATGCGTGTAAATTGCTGTTACTTATTGTGGCTTTTTACATAATCCTTGTTCACTTTAGGATGATTTGCTTGGGAGGACTTTCCAGATTGTGTCCTAATTTGAAAACTGTAGTGTAATCCAGTATGTATAATTGGTTGTAGGGGAAATCTGTTGTACCCCAGTTTCCTCAAAATCAGTGAGTCAGTGTGATTGGAACAAAATTCTGGATTGAATTATACCTGCATTGGATCGTTAAAAAGTTACAAGCAAGATGAACATTTGAATCCTTCAGAACTTTTTTTTTCAGGTTTAGATGTGAAATTTGGGGGTGAGGAAGGATAAAAAAAACCAGGACAGATTTAATGGTATTGAGTTGTGATTAACTTCTTCTACGGTTCATTGTGTATTATTTTTAAACTTTACTTGGCATATACATGTATCATTAATACCCATTGTTCGTTAAAACTCTCCATTTAATACATTGAGCAACTGTATCCATTGCATGCTTTTTAAAGAAAACATTAGAAGACAGATGGATAAATAGCTGGTTGATTTGCATGTTAGCAAATGACTGCTATCTGAAAGGATTTGCATGTTTCTATGAAATATCTATACACAGTGGCAGAGGAGTTATTTCTTCCTTTGGATAGGGAAATTGACTTGGTATTTGAATTACATTTGGCATATTAAGGCAGCAGTTTCATAAACAGAACGAAGAAGTGGGAACAAAGTTAAAAAGCAAGTCATAGCTGGGTAAGATATATATATAATTCTCATTGTGAAATCTTGCAATGTAAATGATGGGCATAGCAAGTACAACTAGCAAGTACCACATATTTAGATTTTTGCTTTATGTAAATGTTTGATCAATTCAAATGTATGATGAAGATTAGGGTAATAGCTACATTAAAAAGCAATGTGGTCCCTAGAACAACAAAATTAGCTGCTGAATAAGAGTCTCTCCCCACCAAGCTTTTTCCCAAATATTGCCAATGGTTGTAAAAATCATTGCCATGGTACTGGGGAAACAATAGTTTAAATCAATAACCAGCATTAAAAATAGGTCAATGGTCAGAAAAGAAACACTTTCTAGGGTATGTAAAATTCTTACAATTTATTGTTACTGTAATAGCTTTGCATTTCTGCCACATCAGCTTCAGATATTATGATGTGTATCCCAGAGCAAATACCGGTACATGCTTCTCTTTTCCTTTTTTCTTTATTGCAGCTTGTAAAGAAAAAAGAAGGCATGCACAGATGAGAGAGCTCATGCAGCTCTTCCCCAGGAAAATGTGTGAATTTCCTGTTTCAGTTTTAGAACTATGATTTTATTTTTGAAAAAGCAGTGTGTCATTCCAGCACCTGCTTGCCAAGCAGGAAGAGAGATGCTTTCAGAATTATGTAGCTCAGGTAGCAAGATTTGCTGGCTTTGGGATGTGGTGGTATTTGCCCCTTTGCTGTAGGCAGCAAAACATTTGGGTTATTTAGGAGTAACCACCAGGTAAGTGTCTCAGCTTGTATCTTTAAAAATTCTCATAGGATTGAGCTGCATGAAAGTCAAATTGCGGTCATTTAATTAGGTGTCTAATTTTCTTTTAATCTTGTTATTTCCAAGGAATATGTTAAGGATTTGGTTTGAATTCTGTTTTATACCTGTGATTGTAAAAAGAAGACAAAGGGTTTTTTAAAAAGTATGATTCATTTATGGTTTGAAGAATGTTATACTGAAAAAAATGCTAAATTGACAGTAGCTGATATTCCTACATGCATATCTCTATTTTAAGGAGCTTTCTTCCCCAAAAGTTCTTTTTACCTTTCTTAATTGGTTATTTACCACAGCCATACTTTCTTTCTAACATCAGAAATACTGTATTTCTTTTCTTGATCAAGATCATAGCCTAGGAAGAAGCTTTTAAGTTCCATAGTAAAGTAAAGTGTTTTTGTTGCAGACAACTTTTTTCTGTGACTGTGAAGATCAGTATTTGGGTGGTTTCTGTGAAGAATTCAATGCTTGTCAAAACAACCCATGCCAGAACAACGGAACCTGCAGGGATGTTGCAGAAAAACATGATGGACACAATTTCACCTGCACTTGCCTTCCTGGTATGTTTTGTGTTGTTCTTACCTTTCTGCTCTGAATTTTGCTTTGCAGAAGAGAATCCTGCATCTTTTGAACCTGAGTAAAAAGAGAAGACTGATGGAACAAAGTTGAATGTGTATAACAGTCACCCCAGTACACATTGATTTGCAGGAACCTGTGCATATTCCATCCGGAGTGGAGATGCTGCTGAGATACTCCACTTCCATATGATCTTAAGAAATCATTGTGCTTAGAGGAGCTGGATTGAGTGCTATCTAACTATTTCATATAGTTAGGGAAGAGAAATGAATTTATTGGAAAAGGAGATAAAACCCAGAACTCTCCTTCTTTTGCTAGGCATAGGGCTCTGTGACATATAGAAGCCTCCATAGTAAAATGGGAGCTGGTGGAAATCAGCTGGCAAGGGTGATGTAGTCATCTAGGACTTTGTAGAGAGAATGTGTTTGATGCATGGCTGCTCTCAGGCTGTCTCCGCTGCACATGGCCAGCCTGACTGGGGGTTGATCAATTGGTTCGTCTCTCTGTCTGATCTCTCTTCCCAACCCAACCCACCCCCTTTGTCTGTTACTGCAGCCAGGATATCAGGAATGACATTCCGGAATTGTTGTTCTTTATAGCAGTGTTAGGGAACTGGTGCATGTTTTAGATATTGTTGATAGTCCAACATCTGGAATGTCCTCATTTCCCCTTTCTCTGCCCGATAGGAAACTAACAGAGAAGACTCATCCATTGCTTGAATATAAAGAGTCAAGGAAATTTAGTGTGATGAAATTATGGAAGTGCTGAGCTGTCTTGTATGTCTACACTAAATATTTCATGTCCTTTAGGCTTGGTGTTTCTGTACTTCATTCCAGTATTTCCTGAGGAGACAATAGTTATATTGATATTTTTAGACAGCATTCCACTTTAACACTGCTGCCAAGAAGCTATGACCTCTTTAGCCATGCATATCTTCATCTGTTATATTTAATATAAATATGCAAATTCATCCAAGTATATTCTTAACAAGAAATATGTGTTAAGTAATGCTTTAAATTCTATTATCTTCAAAGTATATTTGAGAAGATAAATTAGTCTGTAAATGAACTTGAAGAATAGTCACTTGGATAATATGTCCAATCAAGGTCAGAGTGAGTAAAATTATTCATTTAATGGAAACAAATATAGATGGATCATAATGTTATGTGAAACTTGAGTAGAGAGATGGAATACTCCTCAGTCACTTTAAGCTGGTTTCAGGTTTGCCTCAACAATTCTTACACTAGTCGAACACTCAGCCTGACTTACCTCACAGAGTTGCTGTGGTAAAATGAGGAGCAAGAGATATGCCACCTTTACCTCATTGAGGGAACGACAAGGGGAAAATAAAAAAAAAATAAGGAAACAACTAGATTATTTTTATTGCAGAAATAAATTAAAGGTACTTTAAAAATAAATCAGCTGCAATGAAAAGCTAAAATCCAGTTACTGTATATTAGAAAAAAAACAATTAAAATAGTTCTAGTTGCTGTTTGTGTGTCATTAGAGAGGTATTTGATGAACATAGAGATTTGGAGAATTCTGGAGAAGTGATGCTATAACTGAGTGGAAACTGTTTCATATTGTCACCCATAAGACCTTAGAAGAAGGACAAATATAAGCAGAGCCTTTGAGGAAGGAGGATCTAAGTAGCAAAGAAGATGCATATGTAAGCAGGTTGTCCTTTCCACAGACATTCTTTGCTCAAGATTTTGAAGGCTAAAACAAGAGTTTTGAAAAGTATTGGAGTCACGGGGTGGGGTTGGGGAAGAGACTATAATTCCCAGAACTGTATAGCTTGTATAATTCTAATCCCTGGGTAGAAGAAGCAACAGACATTGAGTTATTTGAAATAATGTTAATTAATTGTTTGTGTGTGTGTATGCCTATTTTTTTTAATTACCTTTGTCTTCCTGTATGTATTTCCTTTTCTTCTTTCCTTCTCTCTCCAGTCTAAATAAACAGAGTAAGAAGAGAATACTGCACTACTAGGGCTGGAAAGAAAGAAAGGAAAGAAAGAAAAAGAAACAAAAGGATGGATGGACAGACAAATGGACGGAGGAATGATGGATGGATGGATGGATGGATGGATGGATGGATGGATGGATGGATGGATGGATGGATGGATGGATGGATGGATGGATGGATGGATGGATGGAATAGTTGGATGGATGGATGGATGGATGGATGGATGGATGGATGGATGGATGGATGGATGGATGGATGGATGGATGGAATAGTTAGTGATTGGACTAGGATTGTCAGATGTCTCATGCTGGCTGGGGAATTCAGGGAGTGATAGTCCCCCCCCCCAAAAAAGGAAGGTTACCAAGCTCTCGCTAAAACAAGCAATATGTGTTGACTGTAGATTATTTCAGAGAGTGCTGAGGATACATTACTGTGATATTAAACTGCAAGGATTAAAAAAATGGTTCCATGTGTTCTGAAGATACCATGTTTTTACGAAGCTGACAGTGAATTGTCAAAACTGTGATATTAATTGCTTCACTCCACTGTACAAAAATCCTGTTGGAAACAACTTATACTTAGCAAAACTGGATTGAATGACTTGTGCTTTGAAGATAGTTTCAAATCAGCTTTTTCCAAACCAGTGCATTCCAAGTGTGGAATCACAAGTCCCATTAGATCCAGATAGTAGAACAGCTAGCATGGATGTGGAGGATGGGTAGTCCAGAACATCTGGAAGCTTCAGGTTGGGAAGAGTCTTTTTTAGATAATAAAAGCAACTTCCTCTGTGAGTTTTGAACCCCAGCCACCTTTGAATATTTTGTAGAAAAATGGAGGGTGGCTGAAAAGGTTTGTAGCTAGAACATTTTGTGGAGTGTTTGTGGTCTCCTCAAAACAACCCCATCCCAAGAGGAGTAGGAAAGTTTAAATTAAAAATTAAACTCCACAGCTGATCATGTAATCAGCCTTTATGCATGCTGAGTTGTGCAACAGGATGGTAGCCAGTATATATCTTATCTTAAAACTAGGCAGAATGAACATGGTCATTTAAAAATTCCTGTGATTGCAATAAATAATATTGACACAAAAGAATACACTTAATGAAAATACACTTCAAATCTGTCTCTTGACAGAACATTTGCTTCCAATTTTCCTTAAAGTAAATGGAAGTATAATATATTGACTTTTACTTTATATGGAATGAGAAGTGCCCAATGTTTAGGTTGGATTCTGAAAAGGAAGGAACACTAGAGATCATGTTGCAGTATATGTTCATTGCTGGCATATATCAAAGTATTTCAGAAGATGATCACTCTGTGCTTTATAGACCATAGCAAAAACTTGTACTGTATGGATCATGATAAGCTATTGACTGTTTTCAAAGAACTGACTGTGCTTAAATGCTTTATTATCCTGATGTGTTAACTATATTCTGGACAAGAACGTGCTGTTAGAACAGAATATGGAGAAACAGAATAATTTTCTACAGACAAAGGTGTCAAACATGCATGTATTTTATCTCCCTGTCTGTTCAATCTGTGTGCAGAATTCAACATACAGAAAGCTGGACTAGATTAAGATGTAGACATAGTGAAAAACGGATGGATGAAACTTCAGTTGTTTAAGATATTTAGATGACACCATATTATGGCAGAAAGTGGCAGTGAGTTGAAACAACGCCTGAAAAGGGGGAAATGTAGCACTTCAGTTGAACATTGAGCAGACAAAAAACATGATCGCAGAACTATATAACTTTAATATCCAAAAGTTATCACTAGCAGTTCTCATTTTTTAACAATGAAGCAATTGAAATTGTTAAAAAAATTATACTTCAGTTTAATCATAGGTAGAGATTGGCACAAATCAGAAAAATGGTAATTCATTTTGATTCATAATTCTTCATCATCAGTGAATCACAAATTATGAATTTACATTTTTTTTTCTGATGAATCAATGAATCATTTTGCCAATTAGTTTTTTACTTTAAAACCCTAGAAAATGGCTTTCCAATTACCTAGACACAACAAATTCACAGAGACACTTCTACCGACACTCCTCTATGGCCTCTCCAACTTTGGTGAAGATCGCGTTTCAGACATCCAAGTTATTCACCCACAAAGTGGGTCATCCCAGGAAAGTGCCTTTTAGCAGCTGGCTTGGGGAAACCCACACTTGGAGGGATTGTAGAGGTGAATCAGAGGAAGCTTCTCTGCAATTTTGGTGTCTCTAGGTGCCATGGGGGCCATATGAATTGACAAATCAAAAATTGCCAAAAATTCATTGATGCATGATTCATTGGAGGAATCGGTTTTATGAGTATGAATAGAAAAACTAGTGATACTTGAATGAATTTGGTGATTCGTTTTTTTTAATTTGTGCCCATCTCTAATCATAGGTCATTATCTATAAACCCCTTGTACAGCTTGGGTACAGGCTATCTGAAGAACTGTATCCCCCCCATATGAGTGTTCTTGGTGTTTAAGATCATGAGACAAGGTCCTATTGATCCCATTGCCAGTGCAGGCATGACTGATGGAGACATGGAAGAGGGCTTTCTCCATGGCAATTCCAGGGATATGGAATGCTCTCCCTCAGGAGATCAGGCGGACCCCCTCCCTTTAATCCTTCCACAGACAGCTGAAGACCTATCTCTTTGGGTAGACTTTTAACAATCATGTTTGAAGCCCTGAATGCCTTCTTAGACTTGAGATAGTTTTTAATGTTTACTTTCTTTTAACCATTCAATTGTATTTTAATTAGCATATAGTTTAATTGTTTTTAAACTTTTACTTATTGTGTTTTAATTTTATTCCTTTTCATATTGTGAGCTGCCTTGAGTCCCCTTATTGGGAGAAAGGTGGCATATAAAGAAACGAACAAATGAACAAATAAAAATAATAAAATTAGATGGATACTGCAGTGAAGAAATATGAATGCTGTGACTTGGGAGGACAGCTATGAAGGTATTAAAGAAAATCATCCGGGACATGTCACTGGTTGAAGGCCAAGATCATCAACACAATTTTATTTCCAGTTACTATGTTTGGACGTGAAAGCTGGATAGTGAAACATGCTGACAGGAAAAAATTGATTAATTCAAAATAGAGTGCTAGAGGACAACTTTGTGGATACCCTGGACTGCCAGGGAGACAAATAAATGGATTCCAGATTGGATCTCTGGAAGCAGAAATGATGGAACAGACATTGTCATACTTTGAGCACATCAACAAAGAAAAAAGTCTCTGGAAAAGATAGTAAATTTCGCAAAAGCTGAAAATGGGGAAAAAAATGGATAACCAAATATTAAGTGGATAGACTCCATAATGGAGCCCACAAGCTTAAGTTTGCAAAAACTGAGCAGGACTGTTAATGATAGGGCATTTTGGAGGACACTGATTCATAGGGTTGCCATAAGTTGAAGGTGACTTGATGGCATATTAGAAAAGTTGAGTATGAAGCTTTTGCAACCTACTGTTGGCATGAAATTTTAACCTGTAATATATTCTGATTTGCCTTAGAATTCTTATTCGGATGCTTGTCAAATAGATATCTAATGCATATCCACATAGTAGATATGTGTGTTTTATTTACTGTCAAGTCACATCCAATTAATAGTGACCCTAATAGGGTTTTCAAGGTAAGCAAGATATCCAAGGAGTGGTTTTACTAGTGCCACTCCACTGCCCAATTGAGTTTTCATGCCCTGAGCAGGGATTCAGACCCAGGTCTTCTGAGACCAAGTCTGTCTGTCCACTTTACCACACTGGGTAGATATGCGGCACTCCATTTTTGTGATTTGATATCAGAAGAGAAACAAAACAAGTGTGTCACTTGTTGGCAAAGTAATTCAGAACAAACTCCGTACTGTATGTGTAAAATATTGGACCCACAGTTTCATATGAAGGAAGGAATCCTTTTGCCCACTCATGCAGGAACTTAGATCCAGAAGAATTTCATCAAAACAACGTGAAGGCAGGAAAAGAGCTAATTGTTGTTGATTTTCTTTTCATCCTGCAGCCTCTATGCTGTTCTGAAGGTTCTCTATAGCAGGTTTTCATGGATTTGAGGGTGCTGCAAGAGGAAAGGGGAACCAAGACATGGGAGCACCCTGAACCACGAGTAGAAATCTGAATCCAAAAGAAAATCTTCAAAATCCTCTCAGTGTAAACCAAATCATACCTTCTGATTTGTTCTTTCCCAATAAATCAATTGTCCCTGTTTTCAGGAATGTATGTGTGTACTGGCATGGTACATGTAAATGAATGTCCATGAAATGCAGTAGGGATGCTTTGTTTACCAGGAAGGAACAGACTGAAAGTTATTATCTAGTTTATGCTGAACAACAGGATTTTGACCAATGTATGTAATGCTACTGAATGTAGCTTTGCCAGATCAAGAGAATTCAATTCAGGACTGATATGATGTTGTGGATTTTTCCACTTATGTTGTAATAAAGGTAAATTGTGGTATAGATTTTCTTCATGATGAGATTCATAAATTTCACATTAGTTTTCAATTTGCATATCTTGTCACAGCCAAGAAGCTTAAGACCTCATTTTTATGTGTTAGGAGAAAGCGGATAAATAGATGAGTGAATCACTTTCATGGTCCAGTTTTTGCTTCAATAGATAGGTAATATACAGAGTAGCTTCAAGTCAATAACAGAAAAGGAGGTCAGGTTTTTGTGCTGTAGCTGTGAAAAAAAAAGGCATCAGTGTTGCTGGCAGAAAACTAACCATGATTTATGTTTTTCAGAATGATGCAGTTGAGGTTTCGCTATGAATTGTTTCCTGTTTTGTTTTGTTTTGTTTTTTGTATTTGCTCCATCTGAAATTCATAGTTCTTAAGGAAGTAACAGCCCTTAACATTGTACAGAGGTCTGCTTTAGATGAAATGCTAAACTGTGGTTTATTCTGAAAGGTTTAAGCCTTCCTTGTCTGGTGTCTGCTTGGGGAGATCAGAAGATTTAGATTCTGTTTTCAGTTTGGTGCAGTTTATTGCCATGCCTGAAGCACTGTGATTAGTCCCAAGTATGTTTGTGGAAATTAGTTAGGATTGTAAACAGTTATTTGACGTCAGTATCTTTGCTTACCAGAGTTAAACCTACTCCATGTATTAGATGAAGACACGATGATAAATTATGCAACAAATTGTAGTTTAGCATTATGTCAGCAGAAAACCAACTGGTTCTGTCAGTATTCCTATGAAATACTGCTAAGTGTTGTCTTAGGTGCACATTTACTTTTTTTCAGAATGTGATGTTATTAACCCTGATCCTCTGAATGTTTATTACTGAAAATAACTACTAATACTTCAGGAGGCTAAATATTACTTAAAACTACCTAATGAAACACTTTGTCTTCTTTCCCCTTTTTAAAACAATTCCATCATGTCAAAGGATATACTGGAGAAATGTGTCAGTCAGAAATTGACTATTGCAGTCAACAGCCATGTCAAAATGGAGGTACCTGCTCTTCCAGCATCAGTGGATTCAGTTGCCAGTGTCCAGAGGGTAAGCAATAAGTATTTCTACAATGTTAAAGAAGATAGGTGTTCTATTTGAGGGCTATTGTTATTGTTAAATTAGTGACCTCTTGATCGAGAGGGGAGGCAGAGTTATGACAGAGGCTACGGGTGTGCCCATTAGTGTTGCTATCTTGGTTTTTGTTTATACAGCTAATGTGCTGTTGCTTCTGTTGCTGCCAAGTGCATAGAGTTGTGACTGTGTTAGTCCTTCTGCAACAGCTGTCCAGCACAGCAGGGCCTAAGGGTTGTTTTGTATATTTTAGTTTCCTAAATGCATGCCAAAGATATTAAAATGTGTCAAATGGGAACATTGTGAGATTGCTGGAAGCATACTTCCTGCAGCTTGTTTGTGCCTGAAAGTGCCTGTTGTGGAAATTGATTGCTTCTAAATTTATGGAAGCTTTCAGTGATAAAGCATTCATATTACTCATCATACTGTTGATTCATAATGGAGCCCATGGCGAATGACATTTCTGTTACCAGTCTGCTCTTGTTATCTTTCCTTTCCCTTCTTTCTTATATACATGCACTGTGCTATGGATGGAACCTTTTCTTAGGGATGTCCCCCCCTTTTTTTATACCATATACTGACTTAACTCTCCTTGGAGTAAACTGCTATAATGGGTGACCCATTTAGAAATTATGCTGAAACCTATACATTGACACAATGTCAGCAGTTTAAATCTGGCATTTTGAATAGTTTTTATGCCTCCTCCTCCCTTGTGAGTATATAAATAGTAACAGTGCCCATTGAGACAATTCAGCGTTGTTACTGAACCAACTCTGAACTAGTTTCCTAAAAGTAATCTGTCAGAATCCATTCTAACCAAATATATACTTTCAATTTTTTTAAAAGGTAAATGTCTAAGCAGAAATGGGGTGTGTGAATCTAGTTGGTATGAGCTATGCTGTTGGCCTAATTCTGTCTGGAGAAATCTGACATGAGCCTCACTCCTCAATTTTCCTGTGACCTCTTTATCAACCATGGTATCCAAGCCCCCCGGTATATCTGATGTTTTCTAATCCTGAGGGGAACTACAGTTGCACAACATAGTACTGCCCAGTAAGTTTGCAGGGTTCATATATAGAATGGTTATGAATTGGTAATAGAACTGGAAAAAAAGAGACAAAATTGGCCTTGATCCAGAAACAAATTTTCTTGCAAATGTTTGAGCACAAGCATCTTTCTGGTATCAAATAGTAAAAATAGAAAAGAGTTTTGAGAATATTGGAAAAAGAGTGATTGAAGAAGAATCCAAAAGGATCTGCTTCAGATTTGACAACTCATGCTTTAAGATTTAGGTAATTCCTAAATTCCTAAATCATGTTGCAACTGTAGAATATGTTAAGTGAAATAATTGCACCCATTTAATTTTAAGTTTCATTCATAGTTTCTTTGATTTTATATTTGACCACCAGGCTAAAAAAGCTGAAGCTATAACAGTGGACTTTGTTTTAAAAGAGGATTTCTGTCTATCACATTTGAACAGCTTTAACCACAATCAACAACACAAAATCTTCTGAAAAGTGGGTGGGTTGGGGTTTTCTTATGGGCAAATTGTAAGTGGTCCCTTGGAGCCAGCTATAATATAAAACCCTCCTTGGATTTCATTTGCTCTGAGCCTTTGGAGTACATAAGAACACATTCTCTTCAAACTCATTCCATTATTTTTGTATGCCTTAAATGAACCCTACTGTGTTTTTTGCCTGAGAGCTAAATCCATTGTTAGTCATACTTGGAGTAGACTAACTGAAATGGGGAATGGGTTGTGTCTACCAAGGTCCCATTCATTTCACTGAGTTCACTCTAAGTAGATTAATGTTGAATTTAGCTCATGGTTTCTGCAGCTTTTTAGTTTCGATTATGGATTTTTTTTTCTAACATTGTACTATTTGCCACGTGCACACTACTTGTTAACAGAATGCACAGAACTATATGAGAACCAGTCATCTGCCAAGTCCAATGAGATGATTTTAACTATTTGTTATTGTTTAGTCATTACGTTGTGTCTGACTCTTCGTGACCCCATGGACCAGAGCACTCCAGGCCCTCCTGTCTTCTACTACCTCCCGGAGTTTGGTCAAAATCATGTTGGTTAACTATTTGCCCACTTTTTAATATTTCCAATTAGTCAGAATTGCTTGATTCCATGACAGTCTTAGTGAGGCATCTGGTTTTGCACATGACTGCTGTGATAGAGAACAACTTCAGATGTGCTGTTTCTCTGTTCACATGTCCTGTGTGCTATAGGAATTATAACTAGGTTGGGCTGACCAAGGCATTCTTCTAGGAAACGGAAATTTGGAAGTTGCAAAAATTTGCTGCTGAACGTGTACAAACCCATCTGTTTGGTATTTTCTGCTGGAAGGGTGCATATCTACTCTGCGTGACCCTATAGACTGCCTCCAGCTGTGCCTCCACAGGCAGAAGAAAATGGGCAGGCTCAGCATAGAACTGATGTGGTAGTTGTACACTCATACACAGGAATTCCTCCCCATTCTTACAACCTCACCTTGCATGTGCCTGTGTCACATGATCTAAGCCTAACCAATAGCACAGCAAAACACAAGGAATCAGTGGGGTTAGTTGTGGCTTTGGCTGTTGGACATTGCCCAGACATTTTGGTTCAGACACTACTTAAATAGCAGCTATGGTTAATTATCAGAGGATGCTGATAATCCTCTGGATTAGAGGAACAGTAGACAACCAGTGTATGAAATTTGTTTAAAGGAGAGTGCTTCCTTGTCAATGGGATAATCAGTGAAAGACTACCTGATTGTCACGATACCACCTAGTAGTTAATCTGTAGAGCTGTCATTGAACTAGTTAGTCAAACGCTGTGGTGGAGAAGATGATCCAGCCTGTTTCTAGCAAGGTCAAACAATAACTAAAATTCTGTTGCTTAGTGTAGTCAGTTGCACGAGAATGGGCTTACTGATAATTCAGCTCCTCTCTAAGCTTCATTGATTCAAATAGCCCTACTCTAGTTATGACCTACTTTAGCACATGTTCACATGAGTACTTAACAAATTATATTCTGTTGAGCCATGTCAGCCTTACAACGATTGTCATAGAGTTTTCTAGGTACTAAAAATAATTTACCAGTCCCTCTTTTGGGTGCTGCATCAGCTTGTTAAAGGCTACAAGGTACATATACTGTACGTATTGCTAGAAACATGGGGAAATTATTTCAAAACTAAATATACTAAGTCAGGTATGGAAGAAGAAGGTAGTGCAGAGATAGGAGAGCTGCTGCAGTGGCCACCAGTGAGCACCACAGAAGTGAAACACCTGATTCAAACCCTGAAGATACTAAAGCACCTGGCACTGATATGATTATGATATGAATTAATTAAAAACATATTGAATAGTGGGTGCTGGTAATTGCAGCTTTATTTACAGCTATTGACAAAACTGGAAAAATTCCTAAAGATTGGGGTATTGCGATCATAATCCCTATATACAAAAGAAGTAACAAAGAGCTACCCTCTAACTACAGGCCTATAAATTTACTTATAAGTAAACTATATGCTAGACACCTTCAGTGGAAACTGAAGGATTGGATAGACTAAGAGTCCTTTATGGCTAAGGAACAGGCTGGATTCAGAGAGGCCCATTCAACTTCAAACCGAAGTATGATCCTGGAGCACTTGATTATGAAATATTCCTCTAAAAATTCGGCGTCTCTATATGCAGATTTTATTGATTATAGAGCTGCCTTCGACTCTATTTCAAGAAACATATTATGGAAAAAATTAACTAATATCAATATTGACAAGCGTTTATTCTTCTTGATTCAAGTCTTGCATAATAATACATTAGTAAGAATTAGAGTTTATCCCTAAGGACATCTTTCAGCACCAGTTAAAACTGAAAAAGGGGGTTAAACAGGGCTACATCTTGGCATCCTTGTTATTTAATTTCTGTATAAATGATTTAGTAATAAATCTAAACAATGTGGACTTTTATCCTCCAAAGTCGACAGATAAACATATTTCCATTTGACTATATGTTGATGATGCAGTAGTTCTCTCAAGAACCCCAAATGGATTAAAAAGAATGCTGCAGGCTCTTGCTGAATGTTGTCAACAGAATCAATTAGAGGTAAACCATGATAAAATGAAGGTAATGGTATTTGCTGAAAGACCTAAAAGTATATTTGGAAATTAAATGAGGTACATATCGAGCAAGTACAATATTATAAATATTTGGGTCTGATAATCCATGCAAATAGTAAGAGAATGCGCATATAAAACATGCGGTAACAAATGCCCAAAAAAGCATTACAAAAATTACAGATTCCTACAAGTGCATCAAATTTATTTATTTATTTACAATAAATAATGCAACCGTTAGGCTAGAATCTGGGCTAGTAACTGTTGAGACCAGGCTATGGATATCTGCTGTAACATATTGACTAAAATTGAATTATAATACCTCAAGGCTGGTCCATTTTACATTGCAAGATTGCTTTGTCTCCACCTGGTGGAAAATAAGCTAGGGTATTATGGATTTTCATATCATTACCTATTCTCAATGAATATGATCCAGGCAAAAAAACAAACAAACAAAAAGATTAAGCAAAGATCTTAGATATAGAAAGACAACATGATATAAACAAGGCCACAGGATTTATTAATCCCAAACTCCGAGTTGGGAATTGGTGGCTCGGCACTTGCCTGGCTCCGTTCCTTCTTGGG